AAAAAAAAAAAATAGTTGGCATTTTTTTATGAGTTGGTATTTTTATTTAATTTAAAAATAATATTTTTTTTTTTTTCACCCACGTCAAATTTCTTCTTTCTCTTTCATTTTCTCTCCTTTACCTTTCCTTTTCCCTTACCTCTGCGAACCCAGGCTCTGGGTTTTCTCAAACGGCCGAGAAGCATGTGAATGTGATGATCGTTGCCGTCAATGATAGTGAGCACAACGCCTACGTGCTGGAGTGGACGATGCTACTACTACCGTCGATCGGCCTTCTTCTTCTTCTCTCAAGCCCAGATCTGGGTTTTTCTCAAACCCAGATGCTGTGACTTGTGAATTTTGGGGTACGTGCCCAAAAAAGCATCCACAGGACAAACCACCAACCACAGTACACACTTCTCACAACCACAACCACAACCCTCCAGTCTTCCTTCTCTTTCACTCCCCTGTTATCTATTTGTCTTCCCATCCCCTTTCTTCTCTCCTCACACGAAAATCTCAAGGAAAGCCAGCTTCCTTTAACATATGCAGCATAGAAAGCTTGTGGGTTTTCAGTTATGAAATTGATTGTCTTTGGAGTTTGTAGCTTGAAGGGTGAGCGAAAGGTTGTTTCTTGGGGTGTTTATTTTTTGGATTTTTGTCGGGTAATACCCGGGTTAGACGCCTTGTAGACATCACGACTATACTCAGAGTTTCTCGACTTCTCATTCATGTCCGGGCAATACAACGCAAGGGTTGTGTGATCGAGAGCAACCCTTTGCCCCACGGCGAGCGTGGAGCCTTGCCTTCTAAAGGGGGCAGCCCTTCCAACCTCCTCTTCTCGTTGGTGGTGGTTTCATTTCCTTCTCAGTTTGTGGTCCGTGGATTCTCAAACCTAGATATTGCGATGAGTTTTCCAACTGTTTGCTCTTTTATATTCTTAACAAGTTTGAAATCTATTTTTTGGATTTTAATTGTAAACGTTCTAATCTTATAATTTGAAAAGTTTAAATTTTTTATTTTGATTTTTTAAATCTAGCCACTAAGAGTATGATCTGAGAATGTGGGATTTGTTAGATTTCTGTAACTGGGGAATTGGCATGTTTGATTGTTGTTGTTTGCGTGCATATTAATTTTATCACAAGAATAGGATTGGATTCTTGTCTTACTCTAAATAGTGATTGGTATTGGTATGCTGCAGAGTTCTACGGAGTTTGTTTGAAACCCAGATCTAGGTTTCATCACAATTAACAATTAAAAATTTTTCCAGGAAACCCCCAACAAAAAATACACACTATTTCTTCTCGTTTATCGATTTGATCATAACCACTACCTACATTCCAAAGCTTCTCGGCCGTTTGAGAAAACTCAGAGCCTGGGTTGGCAGAGGTAGGAGAAAAGGAAAGATAAAGGAGAGAAAATGACAGAGGAGGAAGAAATCTGACGTGGGTGAAAAAAAAAATTATTATTTTTAAATTAAATGAAAATGCCAATTCATAAAAAAATGCCAACTATGTTTTTTTTTTCTATGTCATTAGTTAAGAAAAAAAAAAAAGAATTGATTTGCTGGCATTTTAACGTGTCATTTGTCATTTAATTGACGGAATGACTATTTTAGTATCGAAAATGAAAGTTTGAAGATAGTTTTAGTATTTTTTAAAGCTAAAGAATAATTTTGGTGTTAAAGTGAAAAGTTGAGAGACCAAAATGATACTTAAATCATCGAAAAACTGTAAACAGGCAGGTGGGAAGTTCCAACCAAAACTCATAAGATGCTGTTGGGCCAGGTTAGTTAACGGTCAACATTCCCAAATGGATAAAGCTCCAGGAAACTCTCAAAATTTATTGTCCGTACATTCTTCTCCATTTTCTTCTACCCATTTCATTCTCAATCTCTCTATCTCTGGAATGATGAATTCCTGAAAAACCAAAAAAAAAAAAAAAAAAAAGAGAAAGAAATTAAATTACGGCTAATTCTCCTCCTACTTCGCATATCTCTTTCCTTCAAACTTCTGTTTTCCTTCCTAAGACCATTTTCTCTCACAAAAACTATGGAGAACAATCTTCCTGAGAAGTCTTCCACCTTTAACAAACGAGATGTCCACATCGACGACATCAACTCCGAGACCTCCTTGCCAGTTGAAGAATCCACCAAGTTTGCAGCAGAAGAAAAACCAACTGCTACCGAGACAGATATCAAGGAGGAGAAGCCTGTTGAGGATGATCAGGAATATCAGAAGAATGCTGAAATTGAAACCATTGAAACCGAAGACGCTCCTCCTCCACTAGAAATTCAATACACTGTTGAAACAGCTCTTGAAGACGTCGATCGTTTTCTCACGACTCTCTGCGCCCCGAATGGTGAAGACGAAGAGTCCTCTCTAAACATTCCCGAGTTTGCTGAGAAATGCTTGGATCTTGTGGAGGAAACAATCGTAAAACATGAGTCTGGAGAATTCAAAGCCAAATGGGGTCAGCTTGCAGAGGATGATATCGCTTTTTTTGATACGGTGGATCGGATTTCAAAGCTGAACATATCAATCTCTAAAATCAAATCTCATCAGAATCATAGCCTTTTGATTAACCGCATCTGCGGCATTCAGCAGCGAGCAATGTCTTTCTTGGAGGACGAATTCAGGATCCTCTTGGAAGAACCCAGAAGCGTGGAATCGGAACAGAGCAGCGGTGACACAAAGGCAAAGCAAGAGCAACCGGGTCAAACTGAAAATTACAATTCCCCGAGTTACACCCCGGACATTCTGTCGAGCTTGAACAGAATTGCCAAGGAGATGATAGCCGGAGGGTTTGAATCCGAGTGTTGCCAAGTTTACACGATGGCGAGGAGGAATGCCTTTGATGAGCAATTGAGCAGGCTAGGATTTGAAAAAACCAGCATCGATGACATGCAGAAGATGCAATGGGAAGCGTTGGAGAGAGAGATCCCAAAATGGATCAAGACCTTCAAGGAATGCACCATCCTTTTCTCCAGCGAGCTTAAGCTCGCAGAGGAAATCTTTACGGATTCTCCCTCAATTTCTTCGAGCCTTTTCATCAATCTCACGCGTGGCCTGGTGATTCAATTTCTCAATTTCGCTGAAGCCGTGGCCATGACCAAGCGCTCCGCAGAGAAATTGTTCAAATATCTGGACATGTACGAAACACTGCGGGATAGTCTTCCTGCCTTAGACACCCTGTTTCCCCAAGAGTTGGCAAACCAGCTGAGAACCGAAATGACAACCACCCGTTGCCGGGTGGGAGAAGCTGCCATATGCATTTTCTGCGATCTAGAAAATTCAATCAAATCTGATACAGGGAAAACTCCAGTTCCTGGCGGTACCGTTCACCCTCTGACTCGCTACACGGTTAATTACCTAAAATACGCCTGCGAGTATAAGGACACACTAGAGATGGTATTCAAAGAGCATTCAAAAATCGAGCGTGCTGATTCAACGAGCAGGACTTGTACTGATTATGACGAAAGCTACAACCGCGAGACCGGAGTGGAAGAAAGCCAATCGCCGTTTTCGAGCCAGTTGATGAGGATGATGGATTTGTTGGACGCAAACCTGGCGGCAAAATCGAAGCTGTACAGGGACATCTCTCTGACCTGCATCTTCATGATGAACAACGGGCGTTACATGTTGCAGAAGGTCAAAGGGTCTGCTGAGATTCACAGCATGGTGGGGGACATTTGGTGCCGCAAGAAGTCATCGGAGCTCCGTAACTTCCACAAGAATTACCAAAGAGAGACGTGGACTAAGCTGCTGGGGTGTCTAAGTCACGAGGGTCTTACATCTAATGGGAAAGTGATGAAGCCAGTGCTGAAGGAGAGGTTCAAGAGCTTCAATGTGAAGTTCGATGAAATTCACAAGACACAGAGCACCTGGGTGGTTAGCGATGAACAGCTGCAGTCGGAGCTTAGAGTTTCGATACAGGCGGTGATGATTCCGGCATACAGGTCGTTCTTAGCTCGGTTCTCACAGGTCTTGGATCCGGGAAGGCAAACGGAGAAGTACATAAAGTTTCAGCCTGAGGATATAGAGAATTACATCGAGGAGCTGTTTGATGGAAACGCAACGTCAATGGCCAGGAGAAGAGTTTAGGTAGTCCCTAAACCATGCATTCTATTCAAGGAAAAGGAAACTTATGTTTACTGTTTATATATACATATTGGGCATCAACCTTTTGAATTTAATTTATGAATGAATGTATTTTTCATTGTTGAGTATAGAATGAAGCAGCTATTAAGTATTAACCCTGTAATGTCACATTTTTTTTTTTATAGAAATACTCCTCTCCCTCTCTCTCTCCTTTTTAACTTATATTGTGCTAATTTTTCTTAGTAAATCAATTTCCTGATATGCAGTCATGTGAAGAGGCATAGGGAGAAGGTTAAAATCCAATAAATTGTATTTATTAAAAAAAAAACTTGTATTTGTTCCAGTTAACCTGTTTAATTATTATGGCAAAAAAATTTGATTTAAATTTAGGTTAACTCAAACTCTGATTAAATTACTTTTAATAAAAAAAATTATAACTGAAATATTTAGATTTTTGGCAACTAAATAGAACCTTAATTTAAAAGGGTTTATACTTTTTACATATCAAATGAATAAGCTTTTTTAAATATAATAATTTCCTAAGTTTTCAAAACCATTCCATTAATCTCAAAATTTTAGTAGGAGATGTGTCAACAATTCAAGTATCCCTATAGAAATTTGTGGAAATTGAAGGTCTTTTGAGTCACATTGTATACAATTAAATTAAAGTAAACTAATAGATAAAAAAAATTATTTTTTATGATACAGCTTAAATGACGAGCTGAAATTCTGCTTCCCTAATAACAAAATTTTTTTTTAATAGAAAAAAAAATCATAAATAATGGAGTCGATGGACTCTTTTTGAACTGGACGGCCCAATAATGTACTTTATAACTGTGTTGTTCAACCCAAGCCCAAGTCATTCTAGATTTCAGACCCAAATGTGAAAGTCAGAGGTCCAATCAAGACCCGAACGGAGAAAATAATGGTGGGAAAAATGTAAAATATGTAGATCCAGAAGCACACGAGCTATCAAGGACAATTAATTTTCAATAAGATAATTTTTAATTGTGAACTATATAATTAATTCGGTAATTGTTTTTTTTCGCTGAAAGTAAAAAATTTTAAATTTAAATCACAAGACATATAAGTGAAATAAAATAAGAGATAAAAAAATAGTTGTCTCATATTATACAATCAAAATAAAAAATAATAATGATAATTTTAATTAGTATATATTGTAGGGATTAGTGTAAACAGTAAACTAAATCCTCTTCCTTAAATTCTTTCTAGAGTATTGAGTTTAAAATTTTATTTTATAATTAATATTTTAAAAAATAATAGTTAAATTAGAAATTATCTTTATGTAAATTATATATGTTAATTATTATATTAATTTAATATTTATAATTTTTAATTACAAAATTTTATTTACTTGTAAATATTTAATAATATTAAATTTTATACAATTAATAAAATGATTAAGTCTATTAATTCATT